TACAAGTGTACATGAACGGATATAGAACAAAAGATTGGGACTGGCGAGGCAATTTATCTTTAAGCTATTGAACAATGAATGGCTTGGTCCTGGATGAGAGTCCTAAATACGCCACGGGAAAACAGTTGACAATGGTTTTAGATAGCCGATATTCCAAGATTTCCAGTGCCCTATCTCCCTTGAAAGAAACACACAGGCTGAGTGTTTGTGGTAGTCAGAATAGTATTGAATTACGGAATTCGAGAACCCGTTGCGTAATGCTCAGAACTGGATTGGTTCCAACCCCAACTGCGGACACCAATGAAATACATGAGGAATTGGTAGCAGCAAACGCTTATGCTTATTGATGGAATTGGAGCATGTTTTATAGAAAGTAATAGGCCATTTCATTGGTTGAAGGACTGTCGTCCAATCACGCAACCGTTTGCGCCGACTCATCACATGTACTAACTCGGCTGCAATGTTCACCCGGTGTATCATTGGCCGAGCTTCCTGAACTGTGATTGGATGACATGAAGTTGTACCTGGTCGTGCCCTGAATGCGGTCATGTATGTCTGGATCACCACAGCTATCTTCCTTGATGAGTGCCTCGTCAATGTGGCTCGCCTGACGGCTAGATCTGCGGACTGCAATCGTTGACTCCGCCTGTTCACGGTAGTGTCATTGCGTTTCGATTGAATGTGTCTGCGCATCTAACTGATGCGGCTCTGCTTGGTGCTTTGACGAAGTTCGTACCTGATTGTCTCCCTCGCTTGTCTCTTGATGCCGCTGGTCCGTGGATGATTTGAAGTGGATTTGGTCCACGTGTCGCTTGTGCACAGTAGCATCATTCAAGTCGATAATTTCCACCATGGCTTGACCCAGTTGTCGTATGACTATACCAGATGCGAGTTGCAAATCGTTACCACGGAAGTATACAATGTCACTGGAGTCGAGGCACTGTATTAAGGATCGCAAGCATCTGGATTTAACAAGCATTGCCGGGCTCTCTTTGGTGGCTGTATGTGTTGCGTTTCGGTATTGGAATGGGAAGTTATCCACCAACGTTTCCAATTCAGGTAGCGTTTTAGGATTGGCAGACGAAATTGCACTCTTGAAAGTTTGGACTAGATTCTCTGCCGCTCCGTTCGAACAGGGGTGATGAGGCGCAGTTCGAAGATGTCGGCAACCGATGCTGTCCATCCAAAGCTTCATTTCGGTCGCACAGAACTGAGATCCATTGTCCGTCACAAAAAATTGTGGAATCCCTTCACGACTAAAACATTTCCGTAGAACTTCTATCACAAATGATATGGTAAGCGTAGTCGTCAAGAATACCTCTGGCCATTTGGAGTATAAATCGATCAGGACAAGGGCGTAATACCGGTTCAGAAATGGACCACAGATATCCAAATGAACCCTTTGCCATGGTGTGTGACTTTCCGGCCATGGTGTCCAGTTTTTCGGCCTTGTTCGTAGTTTATGTAAACATGACTCACAGTTCTTGGATGTTGCGTAAATGTCTGTGTCCAACTCCGGCCACCAACACATCTGTCGAGGCAATGATTTCATCTTCTCCACCCTCATATGTCCTTTATGCAATCCTTCTAGTACCGTCTTCCGTAGTGGCGGTGGGATTACCAATCGATCGGCGCGACAAAATACACCATCCAGTTGCACTGACAACTCCTCTCGGTGAGCAAAGAATTGAGGATACTTTCGCTTTACTTCTGGTGAGCACCTTTTCTTGATCGCTGAGAGTATGGCTGAGTAGTACTGCTTGGTAGCATTGCGTAAAGATTCTCGAGGCACTGGTGATGCTGGAGAGAAGACTCGACACTGTTCGGCCTCTGAAACTCGTGAGTTGCGAGAGAGGGAATCAGCTCCCTCCTGTACACAGTCCGATCGTATGTCATTTTTCGACTCGTTCGAACTTTTTATTGCCCCACTTTTAGATGTTAATCTGCACATAATCGTTGGTGACTTCAGCCATACTAGCACTTATCCACTTTTATCATTGGGTATGACAAATCTTTGTCACTCTCCCATAAGAGATAATTCTATACTGGACAGAGTTATTACCAACTACCCAACCCTTTTTTCTTTAGCACTAAAAGCTCCTACTTCCTCCAGTGACCATTGCTTACTCTTAGTTCGACCTAAAGTTTATTCACATAGTGCGTACACATCTTTCTCCCAATCTGAGCACATCAGATTTCGTTTTCGTAACTTCTCACCTGCACGTGTTTCTCTCCTGAATGAATCTCTCAGACAGGCCTCCCGATGGTTTTCATCATCTTCTTCTCTGCTCACATGTGTCCCCCTTTTCACCCAAACACTTTTAATTACTGCTGCCCTGTTCAACGTCACTATGTGTCCAATGGTGACGACAAAAGGAACGTGCGTACAAGCCTCACAATGCTTCCGCTGTTAGGTATTTGTCCAGGCTTATCAAAGCTGAAGTAAATAGATAGAACGCATTATTCTCAGATCGAATTATGAGGACTGGAAAGAGCAAACACCTATAAGACTTCTCTGTGGAAGGAAGAAGGTACGGTCGAAGCTGGATGCAGATGCTGATAATCTCAGTGCCGCATTCTTGCGCCAATCATCAGACATTCTTCCTGCCTACTCATCACAAAATGTTTGTAACGTGGAACCATTTTCATATTGTTAAAACTTTTAAATAGTTGCAATTAATCTTCCGCTGCAGGCCCAGATGACTTATATCCAGCCCTCTTCAAATTTGGTGCTACTTCCCTAGCTGGAGCAGTCACCTCCAATGCAAATCGATCTCTTCACACTTCTACTATCCCCGACTGTTGGAAGCCGGTCACAATCATGATAATCCCCAAAACATCCAAATCTTCTATCCTCTCCAAACGTTTTCGCTCCATAGCATTAACACTTTCAGCTTTTAAATTGACTGAAAACGCCATCCTCAAACACCTTCAGCAGTCAATAAACATTCCCAATAATCCGTTAAAGTTTACTTACAAACCTAATAGATCCACCTTGGACGGAGTTTCCAACCTCATTCATTTCATCACCAAAGCTTTGAACAGCTCTTTGAAGTCTGCTGTGTTTTCTTTTTCTGGACTAATCTTCTGCATTTGATTCCATTTGTCAATCTAAGTTGTTACAAAAACTGGAATCGTTTGAATGCCCCAAGCATTTGTTAGCTTGGCTATCCAACTATTTTACCGATAGGATACAAACCACTAGATTGGGAAGGCCACATCGAAACCCTTAGTCAACAACTCCGGGGTCCTTCAAGGAGCTGTGCTATTCCCATACTTATTTTCCACTTGTTTGTGATATTCCGTGTTGCTCCCGCACGAAATTTTGAAATATGCAGATGACGTCGTTTTGTACCAACACATTTCTTCTTACTCTGATCTAAGCTTTTTCACAGATAATCTCGATCAAATTCAGTCATTCTCCTCCTCATCGAGGCTAACCCTGAACCCCAGTAAATGTGTTCTTGTTTATATAGTTTTGCTCGCTCTCCATATCCGACAGACCCCACAGTGCTTAATAACAATCTGTTTCTATAGTGTCGCTCGCTCTCCATATCCGACAGACCTGCACAGCAATTCATAGCAATCCTTTGTCCAGGGTGAACTCTGTCATATATCTTGGTATAACCATAGATTGCAATCTTCATTAGTCAACCCACATCCACAACTGCATTGGTAAACTGCGGCGTCTATCATTTCAAATACGAAAGCTGACGCTGTTTCGCGCATCCCAATCAGTTATTTATATCTTTGTTTATCAATGTGATTTCCCCATCTTACTCTACTGTTCCCCGGTTATTTTTCCGGGTTTACTCAAACAGAATTTCAAATTGTTACGTCGCGGTCTAACCATTATTAGTCGTGTCTCTTCTCTTCCTGTGAGTGAATTATCTGTAAAGCTTTCCGAGTATCACGTAACTTCCTGTGTGAAATTTGTCGAGAGGATTCTCACAGATCCTGACCACCCATTGCATGCAGAACTGACACCTTGTCCGTCCCATCATTCCACACGCTCCCAATTCCGCCCAAATTTCATCTCGAATTAATGCTCACCGCAATTGACCTGTACCGTATCTTGCTCGTCTACTCATCAACAAAGAGCGGACAATAAGTGAACTTTGTCTTAACCTTGGATTATGAAATGTCCCCATGCCTGTAAAAAGCTTTTCTCCCCGTTGATTACGTACACTGTGACGGTTAGCGTGTATGATTTTTTTAAACTGAAGTGTGAGCTCCAGTGCTTTCAAACGTTATACACAATACACAATCCGAAAATGTACTCGTGCAATCGTTAAACAGCCCATAATACAGCCAATGCCTTTTTTGAGTCTGTGAGTATCCCTTTTCTGCCGCATTGAGTAGACGTGAAATCCAGATCACTGGGCATCTCTCTTGTTCTAATACAGCACCGATTCCTACGTCAGACGCATCGGTGATGAGTATAGTCGGTTTTGAAGGTGAAAACGGGGCGAGAACAGGACGATCGGTAACGCAACGAACTAACCCACGTGAGATATCTTCACACTTCACCGACCATTCCCAAGCGTCTGAACACTGAGCACGGAAAAGCGGCTGCGCCCTTGTAGCAAAGTTCGGGATAAATCGGGAATAGTACTGAAGGCATCCCACCACGAATCTCAAATGCGTTTGATCCTTTGGAGATTCGATGTTAGTCAATGGTTTGAAACGTGTCGGATCGGGACGGTATCCACAGGAATCAACTCGGAATCCTAGAAACTCCAACTCACTCACTCCAAACACACATTTGGACGGCTTGATAGTCACATTCCTGGCGACGAATCGTTCCAGTAGCTGCGTAAGACGGACATCGTGTTCTTCCTTATTAAGGCCGAAAATGAGGACGTCATCTTGATGTGCAAGAACAACTTCGAGTCCTTTTATTACACTGTCTATTGCCGATTGAAACAGGCTAGAGGAATTATGCAATCCGAACGGGAGAAAAATATACTGGTACATTCCCCACGGCGTGTTGATTGTTGTCACGTATCGAGATTCGGGGGCACCCAGGCACTAGATTCAACTTTGCTTATCACACCATCCTGTTCTATGTTCTGTAATGCTTTCAGGACGCCTTCCCGTTGACCGTATGGGAGGACGCGTCGTTTAAGGAAAACAGGTTCACCGTCCACTTCCAACTTCACCGACGGTACTTTCATGCCACCAATGTTACCGGAACACTGTACAATCAAATGTTGAAGATGTGAGGTGATTGTCATATCGTTGTTGGTGTGTAGTGTGATGGATCCTTGTAGTAGCCACATTGCTCGAAGGCCCAGACTGGACGGACTGTGGGCTGATACCAGGAATCGGATTGGGATTGACACATCGGATTCAGATTGAACACGCAACATCATTTCGCCAAGTAATTCCAAATGATGGCCAGTAACCCCATGAATGTGCACAGAAGTTCGGGCATTAAGACAAATCGCAGTGAATGCCGATTTTGGTAGGATAGATTCGCTGCTTCCTGTGTCCATGATGAATCAATGCGCCACACCAGACTCGAACCTCAGTGGGGCGAACCCGAACTGGCCGTTGGGTTCAGTGGTCTGCAGCGTGTAAATTGGGCTTGAATTCTCATCTGCCGTTTGATTATGGGAATCGAAGAACCTTGCGGATATAGCCCATCTTACCACATGCATGGCAAGCGGCATTACGGAATCGACAAGTCGAACGAAGATAGTATTCACCACATGAAAAGCAACGGTTGATGGCAGCCTTCGGTTGTGTTCAGTTTGAACTGGCTACTCAAGGAGCCGGGAGTGTATTATGAACACTGGATGCATCACATAATGGTTTCATTGATTGCTGATGGAATAACACAGGAGTATCCGCATTTGTGGCAGCACACAAAACATCACTTTTCTCACAAATTTTTCGGGCCTCAGCAAATGTGCTATCTTTCTTCCCCGGTTCACCTTTGGACAAGCTTCCTGAACTGTGATTGAATGACATGAAGCTGTACCTGGTCATGCCTGGAATACGGTCACGTATGTCTGAATCACCACAGTGTTGTTAGGCCGGTCTGGAATTGGTGATAAGTTGAGCGCTATTCTTTCCGATGACTACAAATTCAGTTACAATGCCAGAGAAACGAATAAGACACAGGAGTTGGAAACGAAACTTGAAGAGATCTCGAAGCAACTTAAGGCAGAAAATTGCACCTTCAAAGCTATTTTTTTTTTACTCTTTCCATGTGGATCTCAACCACCAAGACTCTCTGGATTGCCGGAAATTCACAAGGGGAATGTGCCACTTAGACCAGTGATTGACACGAGCAGTTCATCTTACTATGACATTGTATCAAGAATCCAAACCTATCTCAGAAGGACATACTCTACCTTAATTTCGATTCTTTGTTCACAAATGCATCACTATTGGAGACGGTAGATTTTAGTTGTCAACACATTATTGAAAAATATCCTGATTGAAATATCGGTGTTGTGAGGCACTAATCACATTCGTGAGTAGTTTGCGCGCACCTAGAAACGGTTGTTGGATTCCCACGGCACCCACCAGTGGATCGAAGGATTTATTATTGCAACTACAGAAGAGGCGATTACGAAATTACCAAACAATTGTTGTAATTTAGATGTTCCGTTCGGTGTTCCCGTATATTTACCCTATCCGATGCTGTTCTTCAATCAATTAAATCTCCTCGTCCCGGCACTGTCTTTTGGATTCATAACACCAGTGATGAAACCAGAAGAACCTTCAGTTTTTGTACAATCAAAAGTACGACCGATAAAAATATGGTGTAGCTATGGTTCACTCCTAGCCTATTTAATTTTAACCAATCTCGAAGTTGGATCATGGAGGTCCGGAACGATACGCGAGATATATGGACGATATGTTCATCATTTTTGACTCCAGAGAGGACGTTTCGAAACTCCTGCAAGCATTTAACAACACTAATCCAGGTATACAATTTACGATGGAGAACAACTTTGTCGCCTTTCGAGACGTTGGATTTCATCGAATGGACGATGGTCATATTGAAAGAAGAGTATACCGTAAGTGCACATGGGTAAGACTGTACACACAAATATTTGCCAAGTTCCGTCACCTTGTTGTTATTTGTAATCTATACGTTACCGAGCCTTCAAAGTCAGAGAAAAGAAGCAGCGATCCAGGATGGGTCAGACACGATGAGAAGGGCACTGCTGGAGAATTAATTGCTGCTCACACAATGGAAATGGAGCAGACTCTTGACAAACACACCAATTTTTTATAATCATCCATCGGGTCTCACCAGATCCACCCAGAGCCGTAGGGCTTCAGATGTCAGCGAATGCGGAAGAGACAAGAGCTATTAAACCAACGAAACGTGATGTGGACGGTCAAATTTTCCGGCGGAAAAACAATATGCATCCGCTTCCATAACCAGGTATCGTTATAAACTTATGCCTATTCATACCACTGCCTACCACTTTTCTATTATCGCATATCTTTCTAGATACATTGAACAGGAAGCATCCGTCAGAGACAATTTTTTTTAAATCTCAGATAAATGATATCCATTACACAATTTTACCTCAGCTTCCTAGCTTAAATTTACGACATCGTATTTTAATCTTTCTCTATGTGACTGTATGCGATCAATGATCAATGATCCTGGTATGTGCACTGAGCTGAAAATCTATCCATTACGATGAATAAAGTTATTTCTGACTGGACTTGACTTACTATGATTATGAACTACGGAGGTCACGCTGGATTTAAAATGGTTCTCAATCACTTTGATACAAAGTAACCACCTCGTTGTTTTATCTACGATCTGTACAAACACCATTCGACTAAATTCAGTTGCTTATCAGATCATCGAAAACTCTCTGACCTAATGAAACCGATAAATTTATTCCATTACTTGCAAAAAAACATGAGTGACAACAGATAAAGCGGTTCTATTTTTCCCAGATCTAGATCTTCTCAGGTAATCAAATGATAATAACATTACAAAACAATTCTATTCATTTTCTGTGATGATTTTTTCCCCGTACGAGGCAAACGAACTGATCGGGCCTCATCAGTTGTGCAAATCCATCGATCAACCTGGGGGATCAAACCCGGGACCTTACAGGTAGAATGCGAGCATATTACCAACTCGACCAACGACAGGTGGCTAATCAGCCCATTGCCGTTTTGCATAGACACGAAGTAGTACAACCACTTGTCACGAGCTGAATGCAAGCACCATATCTGGTATATCAAAGCCTCCGTCGGGAAATATTCCGAAGCTGGTTACTTGTTACAAGAGATTAATGGAAGATTTGATTCGATAATGCATTAGATAGTGTAAGCTTACACCGTACCAGGGAAAAAGAGATTGGGGGTCAATCACTAAGGAAAAGCTAATGTAACCAACCATTCACGTTATTTGCATAGATCGGGTTTATGATTGTGAAAGCCACTCAAGCCTCCACCAAATTCAGTTTGCAGTTTAATGCGCACAGTTTGATTTCGAAGCGTCCATGGAGCTTTAAAACATCGATAGAGATGTTTGTAGAACTCAACTTCCAGTCATTAATTTTGCCTTTACATTACTGTTTTTACAGACCAGGGGTTTGTTGCCATAGTCTGGGATCATCAGTTTCTAAACACACTTGCAATTTTCCACTTAACGTTACACTACTAGTAAGTAGGCAAACACAGAATGTATAATCAGGAATCCTAATTTTGTTCTAGTACACAAATGCACAAACGAATCAGCTCTTGGGTTAGTTTGAAGATCGGGTGGTTTACCTATCCAAATCCGGAGTTCAACTGAAGATTAAAATAACGCGATAAACTCTCACACTAAATATGGTGATTCAGATAAAAAGTATGTTGAATTTTCGATCGTTCAAAGGAGGCGCTATTCACACCCACACACAAGTATGGCAAACGTTTCAGTGTACGATTTCACACAATTTCGGGGGCCGAGCACATGACACATTTTAGGCTGAGAACTGGACTAAATGAATCATCAGCATCGATGACTCTAACGAGGCTGGTTAAAAAGAACGCTTGCGCGCTGATGCAATGCGGGCACATTGTGTGTGTATGTGTGTGTGTGTGTGTGTGTGTGTGTGTGTGTGTGTGCATTGAGGAACGAGAGGACTTGGAACACCCCTCACTGAAATTTGTGTGGGCTCACAAAGGTTTTCGGATGACACAAAATCGTGATAAGTGACGTCTTGTACCAAAACTGGTGTTCTAATAAGGAGAACGATTTTAAAGCCTATATTGTACAGNCAGTTTTCAAGGAAGAACTACAATATGAAAATCAAACTATGTGATTGTGAGGTTTCCAATTGATCCCAGATCGGTGTTTCTGACGCTCATTTTTTGCCTGAAACTAGGGCAATCATTATTAGCTCATGGATACTGGCCCTCCTCAGGTTCATGAGCTGCCAGAATTCTTCCGTACGACCTTCAACACCATCAAAAGCGTCTCAGTTTAACTTTCAATAGCCTTACCGTTACACAAAAGCAATCTAACTAACAAATGAAATTCTTCCAGTTTAGGCATTCAAAAATTTTCACATATAGGTGGTATGAGTTTTGATACGCTACCGACCAAAAAATAGTAGTAAATAATTGATTCAACTGCAATGGATGAAAGAAAAACAAGCGTGAGATATTATTTATGTGACGCTATAATTTAACTATGATAGATAGATAGATAAATAGATAGATAGATAGATAGATAGATAGATAGATAGATAGATAGATAGATAGATAGATAGATGGATGGATATATCACTAGAAAGATAGATAGACAGATAGATAGATAGATAGATAGATAGACATATAGATAAATAGACAGATAGTTAGATAGATATTCAGATACATAGATAGATAGATAGATTAACAAATGTTATCTACAAGATGAACATGTATGGAATTCGGGGATCAACTACGGAAAAGTTGAAGACCGAACATTATGAATAACGCGTAAGGAAAAGCGTGTTAAATGTTGCAGTTATTTAGTCGTACTTGGATTTCATTCTTGTTCACGATTTTGGTGAAATATTAGGGTCCAGTAACATGAAATGTGACGAAACTCTCTTATCCCAAATGAATATACTATGATCTCTGATCTGTGAGACGAACCCTTGACAAGATACGTTGTTGTGTATCTGTAAAGATTTCTAGGTGACTGCTGGGCTGAGAAATCATTCGCATCTACACCCGTGTTCTCGATTACTGTGGTGTTCAACACAACACCTGTAACAGACAAAGTGGATTCAGACGAGGGGAAAGCAAATTTGGTTTGCCTCAAGTAATCATTTAGAAACTATTCAGTGTGCTGGTTATTCCAATGGAATCAGTGTGAGTGACGACTAAACAATCAGTCATTCAAACGTCCCATATTAGATAAAATGTAAAAATTCTCACAGTTACAAGTATTCAATTCTTTAACCAGTCATATTATGTCATCTAACTGAAACTAGAACACGCACATATATTCAATCAATCCACGAAGAGAAATGGT